GGATTTGTAGTTTCCCAAGGTCTACAGTCCTTTTTGGGTGCTTCTATACCAATCATGGGCAAACTTCGACTCTCCATGTGTTTTGGACTTTAACTCCCACAATTCCCAGCAGCCTACTGGCGATAGGGAATTGTGGGAGTTGGAGTCCAAAACACCTGGAAGGTCCAAGTTTGCCCATGCCTCTTCTATACTGAAGAGGCATGGGCAACAGCACAATGACTCCTTGGCTTTCTTTTTCCCCCCAATCCTATTCCAATATCTGACTTGGCCTTGATTCAAGGTCACCATTATGTGTATTGAACTTTGTTCCCAGGCTTTTACTGTGATTGCTTTATGGGCCATTGATTTCAGCGGGGAAATGCACATTATTTCTTTGCAAGCGAAGGGCTCGTCGATTCGGAGGGCAAGACTGCGGTTTCGTTTCATGGCAATTGGAAGGAAGCACTGAAGCCATTCTTTCATTTGCATTTGACCAAAAGCCTGGCTTCCTTTATATCATCCTAATATAGAAAGAGCAAGGCCTTGAACGCAAGACTCTGGCACTGAATGAAAAGGCCTCAGTGATGCTTTAAAGTTACACAATGGAGGTTTCCGTTCGGCATCAGCTTCCAATGTATAATGTGGTTAGTCCTTAAAGTGGGAAATATTTTAGGATGTTTATAAAAATATCAAAATATTCCCCTTTTAATATTAATTTATCTTACCATAATATTTAATATCTCCTTATATTATTTAGATATTATATAGGATATATATATTACATTTTATTTTAATATAATTGTATTATTTCTATATATTTTCCCTATTATTTCTGTAGAATATTTTCCCCTTTGTTATCAATGTTTTCATATCAGCCATCCATGCCCCTATATTGCTTTGATTCTTTATATATCCCGGTCCATTCTGACATCTTTTCAAGACTTCGATTTGGAACTTCTACCAATTAGCACATCATCTCTTGGATTTAGGATTCGAAGATGCTTTGGCAGTATTTTTTCCTTTGCATCCGACCTTCAGGCTGGAAATAGCATTGGCTTCGAAAATCGATAGGGAAGCAGCTCATAAAATTATGATGCGATAATTAAAAATCGTGGGACTTGATGAATGAGCAAGGCTCTGGAAATAAGATAATTGGCCTGTAATGGAGTGCCTTCCCATCGGGAGTAAAAAGGTTTTAAAAAAAAATTAATTAAGAGGAAAATGATCTAGACTGGACTCCAGGTGGGTTGAGTCAATAAAGGGCCTACGATTTCCTTGATGGTCTCATTCTCTAAGGTAGTGGTGCCCAACCTGTGGTCTGTGGACCACCAGTAGTCCCCAAGAACTAAAATATGGTCTACGGCCTCACCGTTACTACACCGTTGCAACTACTGGATGGTATATGTTCTGTATCAGAAACTAGAGCTGATATGCTCTATCCAATACAATTTTCTGAATCAGAACCCCAAATAGCCAAATTGCCAATATCCGGGAGTTTCAGAAAGCAGTTAAACATCAAAAAAACCAAAATTATGGCAACAAGAATGATTGACAATTGGGAAATAGAGGGAGAAAACTTGGAGGCCATGAACGGCTTTGTATTTCTAGGTGCAAAGATGACTGCAGACACAGACTGAAGCCAGGACATCAGGAGACACTTACTTCTTGGGAGGAGAGCAATGACCAATCTTGATAAAATAGTGAAGAGTAGACATCACACTGGCAACGAAGATCCACATAGTTAAAGCAATGATTTTCCCCGTAGTCACCTACGGATGTGAGAGCTGGACCATAAGGAAGGCTGAGTGAAGGAAGAGAGACACTTTTGAACTGTGGTGCTGGAGGTAAGTTCTGAGAGTGCCTTGGACTGCGAGAAGATCCTACCAGTCCATACTTCAAGAAATAAAGCCTGACTGCTCATTGGAAGGAAGGATATTAGAGGCCAAGATGAAATTCTTTGGCCACATCATAAGAAAGGAAAGCTTAGAGAAGACAATTATGTTGGAGAAAATGGAAGGAAAAAGGAAGAGGGGCCGACCAAGGGCAAGATGGATGGATGGTATCCTTGAAGTGACTGGATTGACCTTGAAGGAGCTGGGGGTGGTGACAACTGACAGGGAGCTCTGGCGTGGACTGATCCATGAAGTCACGAAGAGTCGGAAACGAATGAACAACAACCCCAAATAACCAAACCGAATCTAAAGTTAACTAAAAACTGATTCATAACCCTTTTGGTACTAATGTTGGAGAGTTTTCCCTGGTCAAAGTGATCCCTGATAAAACGGCCCACTGTTTCCTTCTCTAATTAGAGGCCAGATGGCCATCTGTCTGGAAGGATTGGATGGTGCCTTCCATTTTTCTCACCTGATCTAAAACATTTCTAGGTGGAACCTCCATTATGGCTGAACCCAGACTCATTCAGAGAAGGATATGGCCTCCTTCTCTAAAGGTTTTTAATCAGAGGCCAGATGGCTATTTGTTGAGAAGGGTTTGGTGGTGCCTTCCATTTTTCTCCTCTTCCGTCTTCTGGCCTTCTAAGCCGGAATCTCTTATGATGGATAAACAAGACACCACATGGACCTTGTTACTTGCTATTTCCTCTTTGTATAGGCCAGAGTTCTTTTTTTTAAGTTCTTGAGAAATCCTTCCTGGAGACAAATCATAATCATAACAACAATCCCTATCTTTGTCAAGAAACCCACAGAAGAGACGGTTTCTACAGAAAAGGAACCACTTCAGAGGAGAGTCCTGGATTGGGAGTGATTTCCCATCATGGCTGAAGATCCAAAACGAAGGCATTTTGAGCCTTTTCAGACAAGGGGAAGGATTGGAATCCTTGCAGGAATGGAGTTCCCAATGTCTCTTGAGATGATTGTTTTTGGAGATAAGAATTCAGGTCGAGGCTCCCTTCTTTAAAACACTTGGGACCTGAAGTATTTGGGGTTATGGATCAAAATCTGAACACAAAACTCATGTAATTTCCATGGATAAAGGTTGGGTCTGCTTCCTCTGATCAGAAGTATTGAGAATATTTCCATATATGCATTATGAAAGATATTGGGAGATAGGATCCAAAACTAAGCACAGCATTCATTCTATTTATGTCTATTTTAATTTTTGTTCTGGGCATCTTATGTAATGTGTTTTTAGTTACGTTGTGTGGGTAAGAAATATTATTATTATTATTATTATTATTATTATTATTATTAATAATAATAATAATAAAATAAGAAACACAACAAGATTAGTATGCAGCAAACAAGATCACCATGCTGGCTGTTGTATTGGATCACACTTCGGACACTTCCCAAGTGTCTAGGACTGTGTGATGCGTCGGTGAATAATGCGTGCAGATCTCAGTAAGCTGGCCTTCTACAGCTGGCAGGTGGTAGTTTTATCAGGGCCGATTGCGTTTAAATGCAGGCCAAGGTCTTGTGACAATCACCACTGGGATCACCTTTATTGGATCACACATCGGACACTTCCCAAAGTGACTAGGACTATGTGATGTATCAACGAATGATGCGTGGAGATCCAAGTAGGGTAGCCTTTTGCAGCTGACAGATGGTAGTTTTGTCAGCGCTGATTGTGTTTAAGTGCAGGCCAAGGTCTTTAGGCGCTGCACCCAGTGTGCCGATCACCATTGGGACCACCTTGTCTGGCTTGTGCCAGTCTTTGCAGTTCAATCTTTAAATCCTTGTATTGTTTCAGCTTTTCCAGTTGTTTCTCTTCAATCCTGCTGTTGCCTGGGATTGCAATATCAACGATCTATATTTGGTTTTTAACACGATCGTGGGATCAGGAGTATTGTGCTCCAAAACTCTGTCAGTCTGAATTCAGAAGTCCCAGAGTTGCTTGATGTGTTCATTTTCTGTAATTTTGTCAAGCTTGTGATGTTATTAATATTATTATTTCAGTTCCATAGATACAGCTTGAGTCTCCCTTCTCCAAAATGTTCAGGACCAGAAGGTATTAGGGAATATTTATATAAACATCATGAAATATCTTGGATCCAACATTAAATCTTTAGATATAGGTTGAAGCTCCTTTCTATGAAATGCTTGGGACCAGAAGTAATTTGGAAGATTTCCATATAAACATAAAGAGAGATCTTGGAGATGGGGTCCAACTCTAAACATGAAATTAATTTCATTTTTCCTATATACTTTATAGCCATAGCTTACTTTATAAACAATATTTGTAATAATGTTGGGCAAGTTGATACCCCTTGAGTCACCAGAAAGAAAAGGGCGCCACTCTCTCAGTTATCAAAATGTGGACAGGAGCCACATTACTACATTTAACACTAAATAAAAATAACACTGGAGTCCACGGTGGCGCAGTAGGTTAAACCACTGAGCTGCTGAACTTGCTTATTGAAAGGTCACAGGTTCGAATCCGGGGAGCGGTGTGAGCTCCCGCTGTTAGCCCCAGCTTCTGCCAACCTAGCAGTTTGAAAACATGGAAATGTGAGTAGATCAATAGGTAGTACTCTGACGGGAAGGTAAGGGCGCTCCATGCAGTCATGCTGGCTACATGACTTTGGAGGTGTCTACAGACAATGCTGGTTCTTCTGCTTAGAAATGGAGATGAGCACCAGAGTCCCAGAGTCGGACATGGCTGAACTTAATGTCAGGGGAAAACCTCTACCTTTACCTAACAATAACACTAAATAATAAAGCCCCATTGTTATTAATCTACGAATCATAGGCAAAGTGGAGAAAGGAAACATTGAGGAAGAGAAGTTCAAGTTAACAATACTTTTGATTTACTGATGCAAGGCTTACCTGATTTGGCTTGCTTTCATATCCTGTATCTCAGGGTTAACTTTATACTTGAAAAAAGACTGAAATTCCTCTCCTTTCTGCAGTACAGGAACCCTTTCCTCTTTCTATGTTCCTTCAGACTGTTCCTTTCTATCCATGGGATCATACACTGAGACAGGCCTGTGTGGAAACAAATGGTCAACCCCTCTCCAACCAAAAACGACAAAACACCACACAATGAAGTGCGAACACCAGTTTGCTAAAATATTTTTACATTCTTCTGAAATGCTTTACACAAAACCCGGCCGCTCTGTGTTTCGCCCAAAGAAGCCCTTGAAGAACGACCCCACCCCGCCCCCCAGAAAAAAAAAACACCCCAAGATGCTGCGTGTGTCTTTGCAAACCCGAGACGGACGTGCGGATGACATTTTAAGTTAAAATCATTAACACCAAAAGAATATTACAGTTTATAGGTCTCTAAAGGGCAAGCGATCCAGTGAAGTCGGCAAGACAAGATTTGGAACTTCGGAAAAGAGGGAACCCATCCAAACTGCCATGTCTTCCAGGCAAAATCAAAAGCAAGGAACTAAAAAAAAAATGGTCAGATAATTTTTTCTGTTGCAAAAAATATGCTGAGAAAGGAAGAGATCTCACAATCCACTGGCTCCAAAGTGGAAAGCGAGGTCCTGCAAAACAGGTCAGGATGCAAAAGGATGAGTTCCTCATTGCTGGTTCATACAATGCAAAGGATCCATTTAAAACACTAAAAGAGTAGCCAGGAAAGGAAGGGATCCCTGCATTTCACCAGCCACGGTAACGGAATCATCTTTTCAATTCATTTCCTACCATATCCGTGTCTGAATTTTGAGTTTGCTTTGCGAATGATCCTTTTGATACAAAGACAGGGGCCGAGAATGGAAAGTATCCCAAAATCTGCTGGCACCATGTTTGCAATACAAAGTGAAAAGAGAGGGGCTGCAAAACCAGTTGAGGTGGTCAAACACTGAGCTTGCTCATTGCTGGTTCCTACAATACAGGCTCCTTTTAAAATGTTAAAAGAGTAGCCGAGAAAGGAAGGAATCCCTGCATCAAACAGCCACGATGACTGCATAATACTAATTTCCTCAATTCAATTAATTCCCTGCCGTATCAGTGTCCGAATTCAGAGTTTTGATCCTTTTGACAGAAAAAGGACAGGCAGGAATCCCATCCTCTGCCAGCTAATCAAATAATCCCTTCAGTGGTTCCCAGGCCATATCAGTGCTCTAGTCTGAATTGTTTGCGGTTTTAAAAATGGCGGCGGGTTTATTGTTTTTAGGATGGTGACGAAGTGGTGTGGTGTGATGGAGGTTTCCCCAAGACGAATGTGGCAGGGGTCATGGCTCTTCACCGGCCTCTGATGCTATGTCGCTCAAGGCCCCATCACCGGGGGTCTCTGGTCCGAGGTTGGCCTCTGAGTCGGGGGCCCGGAGCAGGGCGCTGACAGCCAAGATGCTGCCTGGGGCAACAGGAGGCACCAGAGTGAGGGACTCCACACTCAGAGCCTCTGCAGAGAGCAGGGAGATAGAGGGCTGCGGGGCTGGAGTCAGGCAGGGAGAGAGGTGCGTTGTTGTTGCCGTCGACTCCCCTTCAGCGGCAGCCTTGCTGGCGGATTTGGAAACATGTACGGAGGGGTCGTCCGTTCCCGAAAGACGGACAGAGGACGAGGAGGAAGCAGTGGTGGTCGGGGTCTGGTCAGGGGCTGCCGAGTCGTCTGCAAAGGGAAGGAGAAGACAGAGCTCGTGGTCACATTCTGCTAGTAACAACTGTTTTGATACAAATGTGGAGGCCGTACAATAGCAAGGGGGAAAATCCAGCTCCCCTTCTGCATGGCAGACCTTGGAGGAAGATAAAGGTATCATGAGGCTCTCCTAATGGATTTTAACACCAGGCAGCTCCCGGTGAGCAATGCTGAGGACTGGAGGTCCAACAACGACAAAGGTCTGCATGTTTTTATCTATCCATTCATACATCCACGGAATCTATTCACAGGATTCCATCCAACTACCCATTTATCTGTAGATGTCCATTTACCTATCCATCCAACCATCCAATGAATCCTATCTATAGATCTTCATCCAACTATTAATTTATCTCTAGATGTCCATCCATCTATCTATCCATCCATTGAATCTTATCTAAAGATGTCCATCCATCCATTCATCCATCCATTGAATCCTATCTAAAGATGTCCATCTATCCATCCATCCACTGAATCTTACCTAAAGATGTTCATCCATCCATCCATCCATCCATCCATTAAATCCTATCTAAAAATGTCCATCCATGTATCCAATCATCCATCCATCAAATCTATCTATAGATCTCTATCCAGCCATCTATTGAATGTCATCCACAGATATCCATCCATCCATCCATCTATCTATCCATCCATTGAATCTGATCCAAAGGTGTCCATCTATCCACCCACCCACCCACCCATCCATCCATTCATCAAATCCTATCTAAATATGTCCATCCATGTATCCAACCTTCCATCCATCAAATCTATCTATAGATCTCTATCCATCCAGCCATCCATTGAATCCCAACCACAGATGTCCAGCCATCCGCTGAATCTGATCTAAAGGTGTCCATCCATCTATCCAACCAACCATTCATCCATCAAATATATCTATAGATCTCTCTCCATCCAGCCATCCATTGAATCCAATCCACAAATGTCTATCCATCTAGCCAACCATTGATCGATCCAACCGCATGCCAAGAGTTTAAGAGCCTGAATGGCTCCTCTCTAACATGGGCCCCTGAAATATTCATACCAGCCCCACACTAGCCATTAGAAAGAGCTCTCCCCATTTCAAGCCAAAGGGAATCAGGGACAGGCAGAAAGGACACTGGACTGGGCCACAAAGAGGGATGGATGTGGCCCGAAGGAGACGGCAGGCCTGGTGATCTGGGGTTGCCGGAGTGAGGAGGGCAGGGGAGCAGGCATGCAGACACAGACCCATCATGCATGTCAGTGCATGGAGGAACCTGCCTGAGGAGCGTGGCCAAGGACGGCTGCTTCCACTGTTGCCGCCGAGGCCTAGACCCAATGTCCGCCATGACCGTCAGCCTCTGAGAGACTGAGCCCCCGGCGCCGTCCGTTCCGCCCTGGTTTGGCTGGAGGGAGACACAGCGACAGATCATGGGGCGCCATGGGATGGGATGGGATGGGATGAAGGGGCGGAAGACAAGAGGAGGAGGATCGAGAGGAAGGAGGAGGAGGAGAACATGGTTACGAGTCACAAGACAACGGCTGCGGCCTGACGGGACACAGACGAGGGGACCTTCCACGCAGCGGACATGACCAGGCCCCTTCTCTCTCCTCATTGAGTCGAGTGCAACATTTTTTGCATGTCAAATTCTTATTCTTATTACATTATGTAACAAAATTTGAAAAAAAAATCTGTTCCTGATTTGAAAGTGTAACTCTGTTTAATTGTGCAGTAATTACTCTGAAAATAGTTGTTTAACCCCAGAAACTGTGTTTTTGTGGCTGCCACAAACAATGTTGAATTGGTTGACACTTGATGAGATATTCATTGAAACACTATCGCAAAATGTGCTGCAGAATGTCCCGCAAAAATGTTTTTACAGTTTAAGAAACTTTTCCCATGTTTTTATGATAGAACTTATTAGGAAATGACATTTATAACCCAGGAACAAAAATCTCTCCTCCTTGTGTTAAGCGCAAACTATTTTTGCAGACTGAATAATAATAATAATAATAATAATTAATAATAATAATAATAATAATAATTCAGTCTGCAAAAATAGTTTGCGCTCAACACAAGGAGGAGAGATTTTTGTTCCTGGGTCATAAATGTCATATTTTGTTCCTGGGTTATAAATGTCATATTATTACTCAATAATAATAATAATAATAATAATAATAATAATCTTGGATCTGGGTGCATCATTCGAAAATACATCACACAGTCCTAGACACTTGGGAAATGTTCGACTTGTGATTTTGTGATACGAAATCCAGCATAGAGATCTCGCTTGCTGTGACATACTGTGTTTTTGTGTCAGTAAAATAATAATAATAATAATAATAATAATAATAATACCACTTTTATCTCCTTAATTAAGGCGCAAAGTGCAATTCAAAATCTACAACATATAAATATTAAAACAGAATTAAAGAAACAAATTAGAGAATGCAGAACACACAATGCAGAGCTCTCTCCTCCTCGAGGTTTTGCACACTGAATAATAATAATAATAATAATAATAATAATGCCACTTTTATCTCAAATGAGGCGCAAACATATAAATATTAAAATAGCATTAAAATTTTCTTTAAAAGTTGAATAAAAGGAGTTTTAGCTGTCATCGGAATCTGGTTTGAAGCAGTTTGAGGAGAGAAACCATGATATCTTAAAGGCAACCAGAAAAACAGGGTGGAAGAGGATTAATGGGGATTTTCTTTACCAGACCAGCAGAGCCACGTCTATTAATGCTATAATTGTTGAATTGTGAAAGCGACTAAAAGATAACACAATCCTTTCTATTTTGGGGTCTATCTCCCTCCCCAATTCTTCACACAGACCCCCAGAGAGGGAAAATAAACCATCGATAGCCCTGACTGGTTGTTTCCATGTGCCTTCAAGTCATTTCTGACTTATGGTGGCCCCTAGGCGAACCTTCCTAGAAAATATGAGCTTGATAAAGGAAAAGGCAAATGAATGAGAGGCAAAGCTGGAACGATTCACTTAAAAACACAGCAAGGGCCATCTTTTACAGATTTCTGGAGGGTTAAGCAATATTCCCTCCTGCTAAACGGCCATAAATCGCCTTGGCACACTCCATCTCCCCAAAGCCAGTGATATATTATAAATTACAAGATTGTAACTGGGGGATAAATCCACTCCGTGCTGATAGGGAGGCTGAAATACGGCCCTTGGAAGGGAGTCAAAGCTGAGCGCAGCATCTTCTCGTTTTCCTTCTTCCAAAAGAAATGATCACGAAAAGACCCAAAGGGAAGCGATTTTTTAAAAAGTGGGGGGAGGAAAGACAAGAGGGGAGCCACAAAGACAAAGATTTCTGGAAACTGAATAGTTTTTGGAAGAACGGAGGGGACAAACTAGCACAACAGATCAAAGATACCAGAAGTATTTTGCAATGAAGGAAGAAGAGAAGAGGGAAGAGTCAATGGGGAAGGATGATGGCAGAGCTCAACACTGCAAAGAGAAAGAAGTTTTGAGTCGATATCCTTGCCTCTTAATTCACTTTCCACCATACAAAAACATCATTTGGGTTGTTGTAGGTTTTTTCGGGCTATATGGCCATGTTCTAGAGGTATTATTTCCTGATGTTTCGCCTGCATCTATGGCAAGCATCCTAAGAGGTAGTGAGGTCTGTTGGAACTAGGAAAAAGGGTTTATATATATGTGGAATGATGTCCAGGGTGGGACAAAGAACTCAGAGAAGCCATTGAAATCCATAAGCATGTGAACAATTTCAACAGAAAGGAGGAAACCATGAAAATGAACAAAATCTGGCTACCAGAATTAAAAAAAAACTCTAAAATTACAACAGCAAAACAACAGAGAGGAAACAATCTGGGACATCTAGTCACCTCTCAACAAAAGATTCCCCCAGGCAATAACAAGCCACGCCAAAAAACTGCCAGGCCATCAAATGCTAATCAAGGTGGTCAGTTGAAACATTCACACCTAGCTCCAGCAGACAAGAGTTCTTTGTCCCACCCTGGTCATTCCACAGATATATAAACCCACTTTCTTAGTTCCAACAGACCTCACTACCTCTGACGATGCTTGCCATAGATGCAGGCGAAACGTCAGGAGAGAATGCCTCTAGAACATGGCCATATAGCCCGAAAAAACCTACAACAACCCAGTGATTCCAGCCATGAAAGCCTTTGACAATACAATGTCATTTGGCTTGTTGTGGAGATAAAGCTTCAGTGGAGATTCCTTTCCCCCGTGATAATAACTCTTCCAGTAGAAAATTTCCCTTCTGAGGGGAAGATATGTCTCACTTTCTGTTGTCTCAGCCCCATTCTTAACTGTGGGTTGTTTGCAAGTCAGATGTTTGTAAATGGGGGACGAGTTGTACCTGGGTCCCTATACAAGACCTAAGCTCTGCAAGTCTTGAGGCCAGCATAAAAACAGTCCACATGAAAGGGATCTGGGAGTCTTCATGAACCCCAGGCTGGACGTGAGCCAAGAGTGTGATGCAGCAATGGAAAAGGTCAATGTGATTCTAGGCTGCATTGAGAGGAGTAGAGTGTCAAGAACGAGGGAAGTAATGACCCCACTTCCTTCTACTTTGAACAGATCTCACCTGGAATAATAACCTGATGCCCAATTCAAGCCATTAAAGGAGGAGATGGGCAAGGGGGAAGGTGTCACCTAAATTGCAAAAGGCCTGGAAACTTTGAATCCCGATGCGGAGCAGCTCAGGGATATGGGTCTGTTTTGCTTGGAGGAGGCTGAGAGATAGGGGCCTGAGAGCCAGTATTAAATATTGGGAAGGAGGTCCCATTGAGGAGGGAGCTCTGGAGACTGGGAAAACAATGGAGAGAGGCATTCAAACTAGACTCCAGGAGAAAAAAGACTCCAGCTTAACATTAAGAACTTCCTGATTGTAAGAGCCTTGGAGTATGATAGTGTCTCCTTCTCTGGAGGTTGTAAAATGGAGTCTGGATGGCCATCTGTCGGGAGGGGTCGGATGATGCCTTCCCTTTATGGCAAAAGGGGGTTGGACCGGTCTGGATGTCCCTTGGGGTCCCTTCCAACTGCAGCATTCTGTTATTCAATTATTAATTATTATTCTTACTTTGTTGTTGTTTATTTGTTCAGTCGCTTCTGACTCTTTGTGACCTCCAGAATCAGCCCACGTCAGGGCTCTGTTGCTACCCCCACCTCCTTCAAGGTCACACCAGTCACCAAGGAGAACATCGACCCATTTTGCCCTTGGTCAGCCCCTCTTCATTTTTCCTTCCATTTTCTCCAGCATCACTTTCTTCTCCAAACTTTCTTGTCTTCTCATGATGTGGCCAAAGTACTTTATCTTTGCTTCTAATATCCTTCTCTCCAGTGAGCAGTTGGGCTTTATTTCCTGGAGGATGGACTGGTTGGGTCTTCTTGTGGTCCAAGGCACTCTCAGAATTTTCCTCCAATACCACAGTTCAAAAGCGTCTATTGTCCTTTGATCAGCCTTCCTTATGGTCCAGCTCTCACATCCATAGGTTACTACAGGGAAGACCACTGCTTTAACTATTCTTATTACCATCACTGCCATCATCATTAAGCAGAAACTGGGTGGTCATCTTGTCCAGAGGGCTTCAATTGTGTCCTCCTTTATGGCAGAAAGAAATTGGACCAGGTGGTCTCTTCCAGCTTTTATGTCTCTGCAAACCTCTCTCTGCTAAGCTCTGTAAACACGGAGAGCATCCCCCTTAAAATGAAACAACATAAAAGCCCATATGGAAATGGGATGATGGGATTTGTAGGCTAGAATTCCCCAGGGCTGAGGAAAGCTGGTTGCGAGTGGCACCCTACGGGGCGGAAATCAATGCTCATTCATCTTTCATGGCTATATGTAATTAAATTACCTCTGCTCTGATATTGCCTTGGATTTTGCTAGTTAGAGAAATCTCCTTTCTTTTTGAGCCTTTTTGAGCTGCCATAGAGCAATTTCTTCATTGGGTTGCTATGAGTTTTCCAGACTGTATGGCTATGTTCCAGAAGCATTCTCTCCTGATGTTTCACCCACATCTATGGCAGACATCCACAACCTCACAACCTCTGAGGATGCCTGCCATAGATGTTGGCAAAATGTCAGGAAAGAATGCTTCTGGAATATAGTCATACAGCCTGGAAAACTCACAACAACCCAGTGATTGAGGATATGAAAGCCTTCGACAACACAATTTCTCCATCGTTTCGCAATGCTTGCGTGAGCCTAGAGAGGCCCAAAATCCCAAAGGCGGGGTCTGAATTCTTAGGAATGGGTCAAAGCCATTCAAAGAAGAGACTTCGATTTTCAACTAAGAGAAGTGTCACAAAAGTCCCCATCGATCGAGGGACTTTCCTCACTTCCTGGTCCTCAAAAGTGAAAAGGGAAAGACAAAGGAAAACAGATCCTCTTTTCAAGGCCCTTCGCAAAATGGAGACATCATCAAGAAAATGAGACGAGAAGAAACGCCTTCAAAAATAATATATATTTATTCCTTTCTTTCAGGAAGTTCTGAGTATATATGTGTGTATTTACCTTCGGGTCCCCATTCAACTTATTGGGGACCTCATTAAGTTTTTCATGGGGCTTTCTTAGGGAAGGAAACCTCTAGTATTTCTTGGAGGACTCCTATACAAACACCAGCCAAGCTTCTAAGAGAAGCCTGGATCGAGTGCCTTTTAGGGTCTTGAGCCCACGGAAACATGGAAAACAAAATAAACTCATCATAAAATAAATAATTACGAAAATAACACTATTATGCTCCTGGCTTGAAAGTGTTATTTCCTGCTTAATTGTGCGGTCCTTACTTTGAAGTTCGTTGCTCTGCTCCAGAAACTTTGTTTTCATGGCTGCCACAAACTATTTTGAATTCGTTGAGACTCGATGAGATACTCATTGAAAAAATTGTACCGAAATGTGCTGCAGGACGTCCTTCCCGTAAAAACAAATTTTCTGCAATTTAATAAACTTTTCCCATCTTTTTATAATAGAACCAATTAGGAAACGATGTTTATAACCCAGAAACAAAAATTGTGTCCCAGAGTGTAATGGATGCAACGTCCAGGTGCAGTTCGTTAGGTCCGGGGGTGAAAGGTGTACAGAAAAAGGGGATTTTCTGAATGGGATTGGGGTTTACCTGCAGGGCTCTGGACGGCCGAAGGGGTGGAGGAGGAGCTGGCGGCAGCTGAGTCGCAGCGTCCAGTGCTTCCACTGGAGGAAGGGGACGGTGAGGGGCTCGGCGAGGGAGTCAGGGAGGGTCGGCACTGGGCCACTGCAAAACCTACAAGAGACAGAGAAACAGGAAGATAAGACATCACCGAGGAGGAAGGAGAAACACAAAACACCCCTGGCAGCCATTTCATATTGTCATCTTGGCCCTATCGCCCTCGGGATGGGGCTGTCGCTTCTTCCCAAACACCTTGTCCTTGCTGCTTTCAATGATGTACATCATACTATAGGGCACAGTTCATAGAGCAGTTGCTCTTTGGCAGCTGACATGCCTTGAGTGTTGATTGAGATTATTGTCATGGTTGGTCCTGAAAATCCACGACATGCGAGTGTGGAGAAGAGCAAACCACTGACCACCTGCTGCAATGCAACCTGAGCCCTGCCACATGCACAATGGAGGACCTCCTTGTGACAACACCAGAAGCACTCCAAATGGCCAGATACTGGTCAAAGGACATTTAATCAGCTACCAAACTTGCAAACTTTGTGTTTTGTCTGTTTTGTTTGTTTGTTTGTTTTTGTTAAAAATGTAATACAAATGTCTGGTTGCTGCTGACACAATAAATAAATAAATACTCTAGGTCATCATCCTAGCCAGCAATGAAAGGACCGAGGCATTGACATCTTCAGCCCATTCTCTGTTCGAATATCAGCCAGCATGTCAACAGCTTAAATCAAGAAAAAAACTTCCTAAGATCTACAGAGATATTCACAGTAACACCTCAGCAAACAAGAGTCCAAAAGTGGCAGGCTAAAACCCAGCATCTCAATCAGTGGCTGAGACTGGATTCCAGGCAGACATATCTTTTTAATGGAATATGTATTTTGATTTCGTTTAGGATCCTGGAAGTAGGAAACTGGATTAAGCAAGGAATTTTCTGAAACTGCGCAACAGGGAGTCTGAATCAAATTGCAACCGGCTGCTTCCTTATTGCCCCAGTGACTTATTCCAGAAATGAAGAACTTTCTCAAGCGATTTATAGGAAAACCGGTGAGTTGAGGGAAGGCAAGCAGAAGTTTATCTGAATCGGTTGCGCTGAGCTGATAACGGGATTTTTTTTTCTGATTCTATGAAAACAGCAATCAGATGGGAGGGCCACAAACTCCTTTCGGCATGAGGAAGTAGCAAATATGATAGATTTGTGTGTTTTATGGTAGGCAACACGTGATGCGGTGATCGAAGGGGATTTCCAAGCATTTCAAAGGAAACAAGAAGGCTTTCTCGAAAGGGTTCCATTTAGATTAAGAGATGGGTTGAAAAGATAGCAAAGAACCCTGGGACCCCATGGCTGCCAGAACTGAATAGCTGATAATAATAATAATAATAATAATAATAATAATAATAATAATAATGGCCAAAGGTTTCAGAACTAAAAAGAAAGAGAATGGGAAGGGGCACGAATCAATACTTTCTCATTCATTGATTTCCATTCGGGCTAACCTGACTGCGGAGATCTGGTAGTTTGTAATATTGCTTTGAAAAATACAAATTTACGTATTATAAATATTAAACTAATGAATTCCACATTGTCAGTCCTAATCAGAGCACCAATAAGATCTAATTCATATATATAACACTACACAATAAGTCCTGACCAGAGCAGGCCCACAGAATTCATGGAAATGGCAGAAAATGAGATGAATTTATTATTATTATTATTATTATTATTATTATTATTATTATTATTATTTGAAACACAACAAGATGAGTCCACAGTAGACACTCTGCTGGCTGTTGAATTGGATCACACATCGGACACTTCCGAAGTGTCTAGGATTGTGTATTATTATTATTATTATTATTATTATTATTATTATTATTATTATTAACATAAATATTAAAATACTGAATCCTACTTTGTTAGTCCTGACCAGAGCAGGTCCACTGAATCTATGGAAAGGGTATAAAAATGAGGTGAATATGGTTGTAAACATAAATATTAAAATATTAAATGCATGAAAACTGCACAAAAATCAGGTGGATATATTGTTATTATTACATTATAAGCATAAATATTAAAATACTGAACACTACACTGTTAGTCCTGACCAGAGCAGGCCCACTGAATCCATGAAGAGAGTATAACAATGAGATGAATATATTGTTGTTATAGTAAACATAAATATTAAAATATTAAATCTATGGAAATTGCACAAGAATGTGGTGGATATATTATTATTATTATTATTATTATTATTATTATTATTATTACATTATAAGTAGAATTTTTAAAATACTGAATACTACACTGTTAGTCCAGAGTTGAAATTATGTGATGATGATGATGATGATGATTTGAAACACAACAAGAATAGTACACAGCAAACAAGATCACTCTGCTGGCTGTTGTATTGGACACACGTTGGACACTTCCCAAGTGTCTAGGACTGTGTGATGTATCGTGAATAATGCGTGCAGATCCCAGTAGGGTGGCCTTTTGCAGATGACAGATGGTAACTTTGTCAGCACCAATTGTGTTTAAGTGCAGGCCAAGGTCTTCAGGCACGGCACCCAGTGTGCCGATTACCACTGGGACCACAGAGTCTTTGCAGTTCGATCTTTAAATCCTTGTATCATGTCAGCTTTTCCAGTTGTTTCTCTTCAATCCTACTGTCGCCTGGGATTGCAACATTGACGATTCATACTTATTATTATTATTATTAATAATAATAATAAATTACACTATAAAATAAATAATAATATATCCATGGAAATGGCACATAATCAAGGTGGATAGATTATTGTTAGTCCTGACCAGAGTCGCTGGCCCACTGAATCAATGGAAATGGCATAAAAATGAGGTGAATATTATTGTTATTATTAACAGCAAAGAGTGCCAAACTTCAGCAGCTCTTAGAATTCTATGGCAGCTAAAGTGGTGTCAAACTGCATTCATTCTACAGTGTAGATGCCTGGCAACTGAAGCCACTCAATACTATGGGATCCTGGAGTTGTAGAGAAAGACTTGCGAAACTACAACTCCCATCATTCCCTAACACTGAGCCATGGCAGCTGGATCCAAACTGGCTCAATGATATGGGATTCTAGGAGTTGTAGCTAGCTGCACTCTATGGCAGACAAGGGCTTGCAAAACTATAACTCTCATGCTTCCATAGCAACGAGATATGGTAGCCGGATCCAACTTATGCAATGGAATGATGGGAGTTGCAGTTTACTGCAGTCTTGGACAGAGGCCCAGTGAAACTGCAACTCCAATCATTTCCTAAGACTGAGACATGGCAGCTGGATCCAAGCTATGGCTCAATGCTATGGGATCCTGGGAGTTGTAGTTTGCTGCACTCTTGGGCAGAAAAGGAATTGCAAAACTACAACTCCTATCATTCCCTAACATTGAGCTGTGGCAGGCAGATCCAAGCTATGGTCCAATGTTAGGGAATGATTGTAGTTGTAGTCTGGTCCTGAGAAGGTTCTGTAGAAACTACAACTCCCATGATTTCACAGCATTGAGCAGTTGCAGTTATAAGTGGCATCAAACCGCATTTGGGGATACCAATTAAAAGTTAATCAGGAACACCACAGATTACTTTCCCACAGGTGATCCAATATGAAACCACAGTGAGGATTTAGAAAAATAAAAATACAACATGCTGGTACGTTTACGTACTCAACCTGACACCATTTGTTAAACATGGAAGATGCACCTTCCATACTATATATATTTTTTTCCTGCTAATTGCAAAATCCGACTCCTGAATTTGAGATGGAAGGGATTTGGCCCTTTAAAAACAAAACCAGGTCTTTTATTTCACCTCTCCTCCACATTTTCCCTTGGGCAAGGCCAGATGAGCATTTCTTGAAAGCATGCCACATTTGCACAGCCCTGAATCTGCATCTGTGTCTGACTCAGGCCTTCTTTGCAAGAAGTGTGACTAGTATCCTACTCAGTCATAATTCTTATCTGAGTAACAGATGTGTTTAAAGAAACATCCTTTCAAATGCGTGAAAGTCAGGTGAAAAGAGCAGGATGCCATTCGTCCAAAAATGAGTAGCAAAAGTCCTGGAGGGTGGATACTGGATTTATGAATGAGAGGAATGCCATTCACAGCAAAAAAACGTGCCTCTAGAGCAGATGGAAAGGGCCCCCGAAAGGTATCCAGTCCACCCCCTTTTAGGAAGGCATGTAAAGCACCGTCAAAGCCCTCCTGACAGATGGCCACCAAGCCTCAGACACATTAGCATGTTTAGGGAGAAACAGGGTCATAGGATCAAAGACTCCTATAGAATTGACATGGGCCCTAAAAGCTTTGAATATGTTTTTAATCCAATTGTATGTGAACTTTTGCAATACCTTTGATATTTGATTCTGTTTTTATGTCTGCATATTTGTAGATTCTAGATTGTATTGAAATGCTTTTATTGTAAGCCGCTTTGGGACTCCTTTGTGGGGAGAAAAAGTGGGGGATAAATGGACATCATAATAATAATAATAATAATAATAATAATAATAATAATAATAGAACTATGCTTCGGAGCCCCCAGTGGAGCAGTGGGTAGAAACACTGAACTGCTGAACTTGCTGTCCCAAAGGCTGTCGGTTCAAATCTGGGGAACAGGGTGAGCTCCCAATATTAGGCCCAGCTTCTGCCAACTTAGCAGTTCGAAAACATGCAAATGTGAGTAGATCAATAGGTACCGCTCAGTTGGGAAGGTAATGGCGCATCATGCAGTCATGCTGGCCACATGACCTTGGAGGTGTCTACTGACAATGCCGGCTCTCCGGCTTAGAAATGGAGATGGGCAGCAACCCCGAGTTGAACACAACTGAACTTCATGTCAGGGGAAAACCTTTACCTTTAAACCTTACTATACTATGCCTTGAGCCATGAGGAGAGGCAGGTAAGAAATAAAATAATAATAATAACACACTGTCAGTGGCGCAGTGGGTTAAAGCACTTAAAGCCGAAAAGTCGCAGGTTCGAATCCAGGGAGCGGCATGAGCTCCCGCTGTCAGTCCCAGCTTCTGCCAACCTAGCAGTTCGAAAAACATGCAAATGTGAGTAGATTAATAGGTACCACTCCGACGGGAAGGT